TTTGCTCCCTGTGTCACACGTGTGCCTCGTCGCCCCGTTCTGTGCGTGGTGCCGGACCCCTCTTGCACCCCGTGTCCCCCCCTGGGGAGGAAGGGCCCCATTCTGTGTCTGTTCTCCCATCCCAGAATGATGTTCTTTTTTTTTTTTTTTTTTTTTTTTTGGCTGTTTTCTCCTTTTTCTGTGACTTTTCTGTGTTTCCGGATAGCATTACGGCCCCGGTTGGGTTTCAGCCCTTTGTTTCGCCCCTTCCCCAGGCGCTCAGCCCTCTGAAGGACTATAGAGCCACGTGAACCCCGCAATGAAGGTGTCACAGCATTGAGGTCTGGGGGTGCCCCCCGCCCAGCGCTGTGCCCTCCCCGGTCCCACATGGATGCTGCACTAAGGGGGGATGGGCAAGGCTGAGAATGAGGGGAGAGGGCTTGGGAGTGGGACCCCCCCCCCCCCCCCCCCCGAGCCTGGGGAGCGATGGGGATGGATGAACAGGGATAGATGGACAGGGATGGACAGACAGACGGACAGATGGAGCGCAGTGGTGGCGGCCATGCCGGGGACGTGGGAGACATGATGCACTTGATGTAGTGGTGTGAAATAAACAGTATTTTTCTTTTTTCTTTTCCTTTTTCCCGTTCTTTCCAGTGAGCGGGCTGCTCTTCCTTCACCGTGCACGTTCCCAAATCCTGGCGACGTGGAGGAGGAGGGCACAGCTCTACTCGCCCCACGAGCCAGCCCAACTCCGGCTGAGACTGCGCAACTCAGCTCACTCACGATCCCGACCCGGGCCTCGAACCCGCGGTCCCACAATCTCCGCACGGCCGCGAACCTCTCCGGGAGGTGGGACCGGAGCGCACTACGCCGCTCATCACGCCCCGCCCACTTCCCCCCACAACCAATCCCAACGCTCAGAGCCGCACTCGGGCTCCACCATTGGCTGCGTCCTATTACGTCATTCTACCGCGCCGGGTTTCTATTGGCTGATCGCGGCGGAAAGAGGCAGGGCGCGTTTCCCGTTGGGGCTGCGCGGGGGCTCCAGGCGCCACCGCCTCCATTTTGCGGGGGCCGCGGCCCGGAGCCCTTTGCGGGGCGGTGCGGGGCTCGGGGGCTCCCGTAAAGCTGTAAGGGGGCTGGGGAGCGTGCAGCCTCAGGAGGGGGTCGGGGGCAGCGGGGCTGGGGGCACCCATAGGGCCTGGGGAATGCCTGTACGGTCTCAGGAGGGCCTGGGGGTGTTTATAGGGCCTTAGGAGGCCCTGAGGTTGCCTATAGGGCTTGGGAGGACCTGTAGGGCCTTAGGAGGGCCTGGGGGCGTCTGAGGGGTTTTAGGGGTGCCTGTAGGGCCTGGAGGTGCCTGTAGGGCCTGGAGGTGTCTATAGGGCCTTAGGAGGACCCGGGGGTGCCTATAAGGCCTCAAGTGGGCTTGGGGGTATTTATAGGCCCTTAGGAGGGCCTTAGAGTGCCTGTAGGGCCTATAGGACCTGGGAGGACCTGTAGGGCCTATAGGGCCTTGGGATGCCTGAAGAGTGCAGCCTCCCAATGGGGTATTTGTAGGGCCTGGAGGTGCCCAGGAGTGCAGCCCTTTGGGGGGAGGGGGGTGTTACCCAGAGGGTACAGCCCTTCAGGCAGTGCCTATAGGGTCTTTGAAGGGGGCTCCCCGGAGGCTCAACAGTGCCTATAGGGCCTGGGAGGTTCTCTGCAGGGTGCAGACCTTAGGGGAGAGGGGCTGTGGGGCCTGTGAGGGGGCTGAGGCCATTTGGAGAGGCCCCTTGGGAAAGGAGTGAAGGCTTTGAGGGGTGGGTGGATCCTCCACGTCGGGCACCCCAGGGGAACTCCCCATAAGGAGGGAAGGGAGTGGAGCTGCAGAGACCCTCGAGGAGCCCCAGGCTGCATTCCCTGCAGGGGGTGACGCACCAGGGGACCCCGCCAGGCCCTCCCCTGCTGGGAACGTGGCCCCAGGCCCTGCAGGGGGAGCATGGCCTGGGCGCTGAAGCTGCCGCTGGCAGATGAGGTGATCGAGTCGGGGCTGGTGCAGGACTTCGATGCCAGCCTGTCAGGCATTGGGCAGGAGCTGGGAGCAGGAGCCTACAGCATGAGGTAGGAGGGGTTGGGGTTGGCTGCGGCTGGGGGTGGCCCTACGGCATGGGAGAATTGGGGTGAGGTGTGGGTAGGGAGTTCTGTACTCTGAGGGTGGTGAGTCCTGACACTGCTGCCTGGAGAAGTGTGGGTTCCCCATCCCTGGAGGTGCTTATGGCCATGGGTGGCTGCTGGGAGGGTGGGAGCAGCCCAGGGCAGGGGGTGGGGTTGAGGGGGCTGTGAGGCCCTTCCAACCCAACCATCCCGTGGTTCTGTGACCTTTCAGGACCCTTCCAACCCCACTATTCTATGATTCCGTGACCTTTCAGGACCCTTCCAACCCAACTGTCCCATGATTCTATGATCTCAGTTGGGCTGTCCCAGATCTGCCTGTGCTGAGTATCACCCAGTGCCCTGCGACAAGGAATAGGCTTTTTTTAATAATAATTGATAAAATATTGTGAGATATTACTAAAATTAAATATTAAATTCATCCAGCACCTCCATGACTTGTTATGGCTGCGCCTTTGGGAGATGGCTGCCATTTTGCTTCCTGTGGAGGTGCCCTGGCATCCCCCTGTCTTAAAGAACTGCTGCTCCTTAAGCCCTTGCTGCTTTTTAACCATCCTACCCTTCTAAATCTTTAATTTTTGATTGTGCCCTGCTGGCACCGCTCTCTGTGCTGAGCTGAGAGTGTGTGCAGTGTGTGCTGGGGGTCCAGGTGGTAGCTGTTGGAGGGCAGAGCGACAGTGGCGCAAACCTGGTGAGGTTCATTATGTGTCCTGCACCCAAAGAGGAGCAGCTCTACGTGTCAGTGCAGGTCAGGGTCGGAGCAACTGGAATGGAGGTGTGCGGAGGAGGACCTGGGTGTTCTGGTGGCCATAGGGTGACCATGGGCTGGCAGAGTGCCCTGGTGACCAGGAGCAGTGTTCTGGTTGGCCAGCAATTGACCAGAGGTTGACCATAAGCCAACAGTGTGCTCTTGTGGCCAGGAAGGCCAGTGGTGTCCCAGTTGGCCAACAGGGTGACCGTGAGCCAGCAGTGTGCACTGGTGGCCAAGGTGGCTGACAGTGTGCATCAGGTTGACCAACAGCTGAGCACAGGGTGAGCCAGCAGCATGCCCCGGTGGCCAAGACGGCTACTGGTGGCCAACAGGTTGACCAGTGTTTGAGCACTGGGTGACGGTGAGCCAGCAGTATGCCCTGGTGGCCAGTGGTGGCCAACACGTTGAGGAAGAGTTGACCAGTGGTTGATCACAGCGAGATACAGCCAGCAGTGTGCCCCGGAGGCTGAGATGGCCAACAGATTGACCAAGAGTTGACCAACAGTTGAGTACAGGGTGACAACAAGCCACCAGTATGCCTTGGTGGCCAAGATGGCTGCTGGTGGCCAACAGGTAGACCAAGAGTTGGCCAGCCATTGGCCACAGGATGACTGTGAGTCAACAGTGTGACCTGGTGGCCAAGGCGGCTACTGGTGGCCAACAGATTGACCAAGACTTGACCAAAGGTTGACCACAGGGTGACCAGAAGCCAGCAGCGCCCCCCGATGGCCCCGTGGGGCACTGCACAGAGCACTGCCAACAGGGCAGGGAGGTGCTCCCCCCTCTGTTCTGCACTGGGGGGGCCCCATCCAGAGCACGGGGCCCAGTGCTCCCCAGTTCAGGACAGACTGGGAAGTGCTGGGAGAGCCCCATGGAGGGTGCAGAGCTTGGAGCCCCTCCTGGTCGGGACAAGCTGAGGGCTGGGATCGGAGTGAGGAGGACATTTCTGTTGCCCTCTCCTGTGTGGAAGGGGATGGGAGGAAGGCTGTGTGGTTCAGGGGGCAGGATGGAGGCTGTGCAGTATGGGGAGGGCTGCCAGCAGCTCCTCCCATCCCCAGGTTTGTGCAGCCGTTGTGAGCATTGCTCACACAGCTTTGGATCAAGAGTGGGTTTGTGATTGCTGAAAACGAAAGGGTTCAAGTGCTGTCGGGGTGGGAGCTGTGCTCTACCCAAAGCAGCCTGGTTTTCCCTCTGAGAAGTTTTTAATGTTCAACTGAAGGAAGGAAACCCAGCTGAACCTATGAGGATGTAGTGAACTCACGCAGCATGCCGGGGCTCTGAGAGGCTCTGAGGCCATCGTTGCAGCTGGAGGCAGCTGCTGCACATCGGGTCTGCAACCATTCCAACCCAATACACTGCATGTCTGTTCAGCAGTGCTCCTGCTTGCACCCAGCAGCTCTGTGCATCTGCAGCAGAGCTGAAGTGACCCTGTGTGCCGCCTCTCTTGCAGCGACGTCCTGGCGCTGCCCATCTTCAAGCAGGAGGAGTCCAGCTTGCCTCCAGAGAACGAGAACAAAATTCTGCCCTTTCAGTACGTGCTGTGTGCAGCCACGTCGCCTGCTGTGAAGCTGCACGATGAAACGCTCACCTACCTCAACCAAGGTGGGAACTGTCTGCTAATGCTGCCCTACCACCCGTGTGTGTGCCCCGTGGGGAAAGCAGCTCCCAGCTGCAGCTTTGCAGTCTCAGTGTTGCAGCTCCCAGCTGCAGCTTTGCAGTGGGGGTCTTGTAGCTCCCGGCTGTTGCAGATCCCAGCTACGTCTGTTGCTTTGCAGCAAGTGCTGCACAGCAGTGGTGGATAGCACTGAAGCGCTGTCACATCCTGTGACAGCAGAAGGGTCTGAGCGCTGGGGAGGAGCAGCAGGGGATGTTCCTCCCTGCGTGACCCCTCTGCTTCCCTGCAGGGCAGTCCTATGAGATCCGCATGCTGGACAACAGGAAGATCGGGGAGCTGCCCGAGATCAATGGGAAGCTGGTGAAGGTGAGCACAGTGCCTTTATGGCACTTCCCTTTGCTGCTTTCCTGATCCCTCCCCCTTGTCCCTCTGCTCCTGTTCTCACCCCCTGGACTCAGGGCGGGGGTTTACCTGGGGGGCTCCTGACTTTTTGTCCCCCTTCCTCAGAGCATTTTCCGGGTGGTTTTCCACGACCGACGGCTGCAGTACACAGAGCACCAGCAGCTGGAGGGCTGGCGCTGGAACCGGCCTGGGGACAGGATCCTGGACATAGGTGAGGTCCTTCGGGGAGACTGGAGCATCCCTGGGCTCTGAGGAGCAGTTCTGTCACTGATGTGCAGGCCTGCGTCCCCTGGGAATCTCTTGTTTCTCCCGACAAACGTCGCAGCTCGGTCTCTGTGCAGATATCCCCATGTCCGTGGGCATCATTGACCCGAGAGCCAATCCCACTCAGCTCAACACCGTGGAGTTTCTGTGGGACCCTTCAAAGAGGACGTCAGTGTTCATCCAGGTACTGTGGGGTAGGGGAGCTCCTCCTGTGGGGCCCTGGGAGAGCAGCTGGGAGCTTCCAAGAGCACAAGAAGGCACTTGTGTGGCTCAGAGCTGCAAGCAGGCGCTGTGTGCCTCGAGGGGAGATGATGTGAACTAAACTGCAGCTCTCCTGCTGCAGGCGGTGCAGGAGGATGGCAGCCATGCACCATAGAATCATAGAATCACCAAGGTTGGAAAAGACCTAAAAGCTCATCCAGTCCAACCGTTCACCTGTTCCCAACAGCTCCCACTAAACCATGTCCCTCAACACAACATCCAGCCTTTCCTTGAACACCCCCAGAGTCGGTGATTCCACCACCTCCCTGAGCATCCATTCCAGTGCCTGACCACCCTTTCCAAAAAGTAATACTTCCTAATGTCCAGCCTGAATCTCCCCTGCCGTAGCTTGAAACCATTCCCTCTGGTCCTATCACTAATGACACGAGAGAAGAGGCTGACCCCCAGCTCCCTACAACCTCCCTTCAGGAAGTTATAGAGAGCAGTGAGGTCTCCCCTGAGCTCCTCTTCTCCAGGCTGAACATTCCCAGCTCCTTCAGCCTCTCCTCATCAGCCCTGTGTTCCAGACCCCTCACCAGCTTTGTTGCCCTCCTTTGAACACGTTCCAGGGCCTCAATATCTTTCTTGCAGTGAGGGGCCCACCAGCAGCTCAGCTGACCGCCTGTGGGTCGTTTTATTTGTGCTGCTGGTGATTTAAGGCTGTTGCAGATCTCTTGCGCTGCCTGGAACAAAGCGGTCCGCAGCGTGTGAGGGGTTGATGGCAGCATCACAGAGCTGCAGGACTCACGGGAAGGGATGGGGCCGCGGCTCTGCTGCCTGCTCGCGGCTCCTTGGTGCCGCTGTTACACAGCGTGGTCCCGTGGCAGCACTGACAGCAGCTCTCCTTGCCTCCCCAGGTGCACTGCATCAGCACTGAGTTCACCATGCGGAAGCACGGCGGGGAGAAGGGAGTGCCGTTCCGGGTGCAGATCGACACCTTCAAGGAGAACGAGAACGGGGAGTACACAGAGCACCTGCACTCAGCCAGCTGCCAGATCAAGGTGTTCAAGGTAACGCAGCAACCGGTCCCTGCCCTGTCAGACGTGCAGCGGAGCTCAGTCCTGTCCCGCTGTGGCCTGGCTGAGTGTCAGCAGCTGCAGGGCTGTGGCTGAGCTCGCAAGCTCTGAGGTCTTCTAGAACGCTGGGGAGCACATGGGTTGTGCTGCTGCTCTCTGAGAGCTCCCACACTGACAGAAACGCAACCACAGAGCTGCTGGGGCTGGAAGGGACCTCTGGGGGCTGGTCAACCTGTTGGTCAACCTGTTGGCCACTGTTAGCTATCTTGGCCACCAGGGCACACTGCTGGCTCACAGTCAGCCTTGTGTTCAACAGTTGGTCAACTCCTGGACAACCTATAGGCCAACATTGGCCATCCTGCCCACCGGGGCACACTGCTGGCTCACAGTCACCCCCGTGGTCACTCTGTGCCAGTGGATGTGTCCTGGGGATGGAATTCTTCTGACTCTATCCCATGAAAACCCAGCACTGAAGCTGCAGCGCCCACGGGCGCAGCCATGGTGTTGAAGCACAACGTCCCTGCCCACAGTGGGTCAGGGGAAGCAACGTGGGGTTGCTGGGGGGGTGCTGCCTGTCCCGTGCTGGTTATGCTGGTGTGACCTTGTGGGTTAAAAAAGAAAACAGAAAGGAGAGGGTGGGAGAGGAAGGCCGTGAGACATGGCTCTGTGCCTTGCTTGGTTGTAAAGGAAGCAAATGGGAAGTGCTTGGAGGTCGGTGCAGCAGGGCTGCGCTCCGTGGGGTGTTGTGGGCACAGAATTGCACTGCTGGCACCACGGATGCTGTCGGAGCCGCAGTGTGGCTGGAGGACAGCAGAGCCCTTGGTTCCCTTGGTGCCAGCTCAGCTCTGTGGCTTTTTCCAAACCCGCTTGGCCCCTAGTTCAGGAGGGTGAGGTGTGCTGGGGAGCTGCTGCTGCTGCAGTTGGTGCCATGCATCCCTGGCCCTTTGTGAGCAGCACGAGGCCGAGCAGGAGGAGCTGCCTGCATGCCTGCCCACCCCTCCGTGACCCCCATCCTGCACTGCCCCTCTGAGGAGTGTTTCTCCTTCCCAGCCCAAAGGAGCCGATCGGAAGCAGAAGACTGACCGTGAGAAGATGGAGAAGCGCACCCCGCACGAGAAGGAGAAGTACCAGCCCTCCTATGAGACCACCATCCTCACCGAGGTGGGCACTGCGGCTCTGCAGCACGGCGCCTGGCTGGGCACACAGCTGCAGGGTGGGCAAACCAAGCTGCCTCCTCCCAGACCTGAGCTGTCATGAGAGGTGGCACCTCTGCTGCCAGCTTTACTGTGCCCCTGTGGCGGCAATGGGCTGCTGAAGCTGTCAGCACAAAACCCCATCGTTGCCTCCCTTTGCTCGTGGGACTTTGCTCGAGTACTGCGTTCAGTTTTGGGCCCCTCACTACAAGAAAGACATTGAGGCCCTGGAGTGTGTCCAGAGAAGGGCAACGAAACTGGTGAGGGGTCTGGAGCACAAGGCTGATGAGGAGCAGCTGAAGGAGCTGGGATTGTTCAGTCTGCAGAAGAGGAGCTCAGGGGAGGCCTCATAGCACTCTACAGCTTCCTGAAGGGAGGTTGTGGTGCAAAAGGGTCTGGCCTCTTCTCCCAGGCAAATAGTAGGACCCGAGGAAACGGCCAGAAGTTGTACCAGAGGAGGTTTAGGTTGGATACGAGGAGAAACTTTTTCTCTCAAAGGGTGGTCAGGCACTGGAATGGCTGCCCAGGGAGGTGGTGGAGTCGCCGTCCCTGGCAGTGTTCAAGAGGCGCCTGGATGAGGAGCTACGAGAGATGGTTTAGTGCTTGTGGTACTGATAGGAATGGGAGGGGGGTTGGACTGGATGATCTTGCAGGTCGTTTCCAACCTTGTGATTCTGTGATTCTGTGAATGGGGGACTTTGAGTCTCTAAAAGTGCTGGGGACGGAGTCCTCGTCCTTCCCTGGGGACTGTGGGCTCTGTGGGCTGCGTCAGCCCGGTGCTGGCAGCAGAGAGCCCTGCACTTGGATTCCGTGGGATGGTGTTCGGTGTGAGGCTTTGTGGAGCCGGCGCAGCTCCGTCTGATCCCTGATATCATCACTTAATTCTTTTTTGTAGTAACCAGGTGGCAAATGGCTGTTAGGGGGCGGGCGTGCAGGTCCGTTCCGAGCTCCATCACTCCTCTGGGTTTTTCCTTTGCAGTGCTCTCCATGGCCTGAGATCACCTACGTCAACAACGCGCCGTCCCCCGGCTTCAACAGCTCCCACAGCAGCTTCTCCATCGGGGAAGGGTGAGTCTGGGGGGTTCCTGCCTCACATGAGGGATCGGTGCATCCATGCTCGCCGTGTCTCCGCGTCCCAGTGGTGCTGGGGTGGCTCTGGTGCGGAGCTGACTGCGGGCTCTGCTCTGTCTGTCTCTCTCTCCCCCCCATCCAGGAACGGGTCTCCAAACCACCAGCCTGAGCCCCCGCCTCCGATCGCAGATGTAAGTCACACTTCAGAGCTTATGCTTGGGGTAAGGATGGCGCGCGGGTCGGAAGGGGGGCTGCGTGGGGAGGGTGGGGGTTTGGGTGCTGCACTCAGCGCTTTGCTTGCTAGGATGCTACTGGGGTTTAATATCCTTAGGAACTCTTCTTTTTGGTTCCTAATGGTTTTAAACTCACAAAGAGGATGGAGGTGAGGTGTGGGGAGGGAGCTGTGCGCAGAGGGCAGGGAGACCCAGTGTTGCTTCCTGGGGAGGTGGGGGTGCCCCATCCCTGGAGGGGCTCAGGGCCGTGGTTGGGGCACTGGGTGGCTGCTGGGGGGTGAGAGCAGCCCAGGGTGGGGGTAGGAGCTGGATGACCCCTAAGGTCCCCTCTAGCCCAAGCATCCCATGGTTCTGTTTGATAGCAGGCCACCTGTAGCTCGCTGTGCCCTGTACTGACCATGCTTTCTTCACTCATGTCTTCTCTTTTGCTTCCTTCCCCTTTCCCTGTCCCTGTGGAGCCCTTTAAACCCAAACCCACCCCAGCTACAGCCGTTGTTGTGTGCCCACTGTGCACTTTGGTCTCGATGTGAGGGTGATTACAACGCCAAAGCCATGCTCGGTGCTCTGTCCCCTCTGGGGGCTGTGACCATATTCTCCCATCCCACAGAACCTCCTGCCCACCAGCACTCCCCAGGAGGCCCAGCAGTGGCTGCACCGGAATCGCTTCTCCACGTTCTCCCGTCTGTTCCGGAACTTCTCAGGTACCATCAGATCCCTCTGCCTCCCCTCACTCCCATTGCCTGGCACAGATGGTTGGAAATTTGTACTTGGAACACGGTAAAACTGCCTGAGAGCTGCGTGGTTCATTTCCTGAGGCGTGGGGGGAGCTGTAGGTGGCTGGGCTCTGTCCCAGGGGCTGAGCGCTGCTCCACGCTCTTCCCGTGGTGTGACTCCTGCAGGTGCAGACTTGCTGAAGCTGACCAGGGAAGATGTCATCCAGATCTGTGGCCCTGCAGATGGCATCAGGCTCTTCAACGCACTGAAAGGACGGTGGGTTTTGGGTTGCCTGATAAATGTGCCTCTGGATTGGGCAGGATGTGGTGTGGACCTTCCAGTTTGGCAGCTGGGATGGTGGGGAAGCTGCTTTGGGAAGAAGGGAAATCCACATGGGTGAGGAGCGTTAGAACAGATCTTCCTGTTGGGGGGCAGAGGGACGGCGCTGCGCAGAGGTGTGGGTGCATGGAATGAGATCCCACAGGGAGCCCACATCCCTCAGGGGGGACCGACACGAAACACCCCTGGGGGTGGCGTCAGCCTCTGCCTCTTTGCTTTTGGGTGAATTCCTCCGCCTGCTCTGTTCCTTGGGAGGATGCTGAATGCTGTCTCAGGGCCCTGGAGCCAACCCCTGTGCTATGCCTGCAGGATGGTGCGGCCCCGGCTGACCATCTACGTGTGCCAGGAGTCCCAGCAGCTGCAGGAGCTGCAGCAGAAGCATGAGGACGGCGACGCAGTCACCAGCACCTTCTTTGGTAAGAGCCTGGAGGAGAGCAGGGGGAGCAGCAGTGCGCTCAGCCAGCAGAAATCACACGGGAGCAGTGGAACTGCTCCCAGCTGCTCAGGTTTGGGTCTTCCAGCACACATCACCCGATGGACCTCGGGGCTGTGGGTGCGTAACAGCTGGAAGCATGGAGGCTTTGCTTTCCAGCTGCTGTGCCTCCTTTGGGCTGCTTTCTCCTGCTCCAGGCAAACCAAGGAGCTGCTCACGCTCTCTTGGGCACAGAGCTGCAGCGAGCGCTTTGCCTGCCCCGCTCCTCCCCCTGCACATCTTCCCCTTGTTGGCCGGAGGGGTGGCTGCAGATCCCGACCCACGGAATGCTGTTTGCTTTGAGCTGCCCAACAGTGGCTCCTGTGAGAACGCAGAGCTGCCCAGACAATGGCTGACCTACATTTGTGCAGCAGCCAGGCGTCGCTCTGTGGTCAGAGTGAAAGCAGATTGTGTGTCCATCCCTTCCCACTGCAGGGCTGGGGGATGTAAAAATGCCAGGAATGGGACAGAGCGATGGTCAGAACGGGAGCTTTTTGGGCCAAGGATTGCATAAATGCAAAATAGAGCATTGCAGGACGTTGGTGGCCACGTTACTGCAGCATTGGTGCTTTTGTGGCTCAGGGTGTTGGGCAGCCGTGGAGCAAAAGCAGGCACAGGAGAGAAGCTGCACGTTGCACGGGGGTTTACACGAACGTCTGGGGCAGTCCCAGGTGTGGGGATGGACTTCAGAACTGAGAGCAGCCCTGCAGGGAAGGAAGGGCTTGGGGGTTTGGGTGGATGAGAAGCAGCGGCTGCTGCATCCCTGGAGGGACTCACGGCTGTGGATGGGGACCTGGGCAGCTGATGGGGGGTGGGACAGCCCAGGGCAGGGGCTGGGGCTGTGAGGTTCCTTCCAGCCCAACCATCCTACAGTTCCGTGATCCTTTAGGACCCTTCCAACCCAACCCTCCTATGGCCCTATGATCTTTTGGGACCCTTCCAACCCAACCGTCTTACAGCTTTATGATCTTCAAGGTCCCTTCCAGTCGAAACATCCTAGAATTCTGTGCTCTTCCAGGACCCTACCGTCCCAACCATCCTACAGTTCTATGACCTTTAAGGTCCCTTCCAGCCCAGGCCAGTGCACGCTGCTTTCAGAGCTGCTCTGCCCATCCATTCCCCGCTCAGCACGGCTGCTCTGCGCACTCCTGGCCCGTCCCTGCAGCACTCCTTGTCCTTGCAGTGTACCACGCCATCTATCTGGAGGAGCTGACGGCGGTGGAGCTGACAGAGAAGCTGGCTCAGCTCTTCAGCATCTCCTCCCAGCAGATCAGCCAGATTTACAAGCAGGGTCCGACGGGGATCCACGTGCTGATCAGCGACGAGGTAATGATCCCTCAGCGCTCCTTTTTCTGCCTTTCACACTGCTTTGTGTCCAGCCTCCAAAGCACGACCTCAGGGTGGGCCCCTCTCATTTGCTGCTGCTTCCAAAGAGTTCACTGACAAAGCTGTGGAGCTGAGGATGTCAGACAGCACTGGGGACGCTGGCAGCACTCACGTAGTTCTGGAGTTGGGGGGGGGTTGTAAGGGCACAGCTGTCCCTGCTGTGCTTTGCTGGGAGCAGGAGGGGAGCTGCTGGGAAAGGGCTTTGCTTCCAGACCACACTGCAGGGTTGGAGCACTTTGCCTTGGCTTGCTGGTTCACTGTGGTTCTGAAGCGATGGAGGAAGGGATGAGTGTTGCTGTGGGTGCCCTTCCTGCTCCGAGCCCTGTCTGCAGTGCAGCCCCGTGTTCGGGTGCAGCCTCAGGCTCAGCTGTGTTGTGACTTCTTTCAGATGATTCAGAACTTCCAGGATGAATCCTGCTTTGTTCTGGACACCATGAAAGGTACGTAAGCGACGCGCTGCCCGTCCTCTGTGCCAGATCTGAATGCAGCAGATCCCTTCACTGCCAGCAGTGTCTCATCAGCTTCCCTTCTTTTTGCAGCTGAAACCAACGACAGCTACCACATCATCCTGAAGTAGGAGGGGACGGGATGAGGAACAGCCACAGTCCTCTCATCTCATGTGAATCCCCCTCACTTCCAGCACCAGGACATGAGAGCAGAGATCCAGAAGCTCCCATTGGCCTTTTCAAAACCCCAGAGCTGTTGGTTCTCAGCCCCTTCCTCACCCTTCCAGCTGCAAACCACCTGCGAGTGATGCTCTGCTGACTTCTCCACGTTGTGCTCTTGCATAGCAGTGAGCAGAGTTCACCTTTGGGACCTCAGAGCTGCATGAGGGCTTTTCGTGGCTCTGTTTTTCCAGAAGGCAGCAGCTCTTGTGACATTTGGACTGGAGAGTGGATGTGAAGGAAACCAGCCCGGTGCTCCCAGCCCCGTGGAGCTGAGCGGGTCTGGAACAGACACGTGGAGCGGTAGGAGAAGGCTGGGAGGGATTTTCTTCAGGACTTTGGTGCGCTGTGATATTGAATGGAAGTTGATCTGTTGGGCTTTTTCTCCTACCCACCACCACGGAAGCGCTGCTGCTGTGTGCAGGCGTGCTGCCATCCCTCAGAATCACAGCATCCTGAGTTGGAAGGGACCCACGAGGATCATCGAGTCCAACTCCTGACTCCACAGGACTTACCCAAAAGGAGCGTCCGCTGCTTCTCACGCTTCTTTCCCTCCCTCATCAGCATTAGTTGGCACAGGTGTGCAAAGCTGGAGGAGAACTTGGAGCGAAATGGAGCTGGAGAGAGAAGCAGCTCACGTGGTTCACCTGGAGGATTCTTTTCTGCACATTTTTGTGGTTTCGAGTGAAAAGGAGAAAGATTTGGGTGTCCTGGTTGGAAATCTGAAGCTGTATCTATGTGCTGAGCTGTTTGTTACCTTTGCATCCTTCTGCCCCAGATCTGAGGATGGAGGTGGGGAGGAGTGAGATGAGTTTGAGGGACACTCAGCTCAACTCAATGGAACACTCAACAGGAGACTCAGCTCAGTGTGAAGCTCAGCTCAGCGGGAGACTCAACACAGGACTCAGTTCAATGGGAGTCTCAGCTCCGCTCGATGGGAGACTGAGCATGAGGCTCAGCTCAGTGGGGCTCTCAGCTCAATTCAAGGGGAGGCTCAGCTCAATGAAGACTCACCTCGACTCAAAGGGACGCTCAGCTCGGCTCAATGGCAGCTCAGCTCAGTGAGTGACTCAGACTGGGTCGGGTCAGTGGGGCACTCGGCCCGACTCAAGGCTCATCATGAAGCTCAGCTCGTAGTGAGGCTCAGCTCAATGGAATCTCAGCTCATCATGAAGCTCAGCTCAGCTCAGCTCATCGTGAGGCTCAGCTCAGTGGACACTCAGCTCCTTGGGAAGGAGCCGGAGCTGCCTCCCTCACTCGGGGAGCCCAGTGCTCCCCTGTTTGGTACTTGGAGGGGTGGAGGTGGGGGGGCTGCTGTGTATTTGATGCCATTCTGTAACGGAGCCGTGGGGCAGCGGTAAAGTTTTGTACGGATGCTGTGGGTCTATGTGAGCTGCGGGTGGGAACGGGGGGGCAGTGGGCTGAGGATGAGATGAGGGCGGTCACCCCTCGGTGCCTGCACGGAACATCTCAACCTGCTCACTCGTTAGTTAATTGGTTAATGAGCTAAGCCTTATGCCGAGGGGAGGACGCTGGTGGTCTGCATGGCGCGGTGCGCTCTCTGCCCCACATCTGTCCCATTATTTCCCCTTTAAGGCGCTTTTTGCCGCTCCCCGCCGCGTTAATCTCCGTCTAGACTCCGGCGGCGGCTCGGGCCTTCGTCCCCCTCCTTTTCCTCCTCCCCCTCCTTTTCCTCCTCCCCCCCTCTTCCTCCTCCCCCCCCTCACTGCTCCCCTTCCCCTCCCCCACGTGCCCCACGCCCACTTCCGCACTCCGTTTCCCATCACGCCCCGCCCGGACTCGCTTTCCCGACACCCCCCGCGGGCGGAGTTTCTGGGGTGGGGGGGAGGGGAGGCGAGGCCTGCCGTCACGTGACTGCGGGGTATATAAGGCGCGGCCCCATTGTTGTCGGCAGACGGCGGCGGGGCGGTCCGCGCGGCCGCACTCGGGCTTCGAACCCGCGCCCCGGGCCGCCCCCCGCCCGCAGCGCCGAGCGGTGAGTGGGGGAATGGGGGGCGGCGGGGCTGGGGGCTGCAGAGGGGGAGGAGGGGGGCGTAGTGTGGGGCCAGGCCTGAGGGGGTGGGGGTCTATAGGGGGGTCTACAGGGGGTCGGGGCCCTGGAGGTGGGCGCCTCTTGGGGGGTGTGGGTGGTCAATAGGGGATGGAGCTTTGAAGATGGAGGCCTATAGGGGATCACGGGCCTGGAAAATGGGAGCCTGTAGGGGTCTTAGGAGGTCTGTAAGAGGTGAGGGTCTTAAAGGTGGAGGGCTGTAAGGGATGGGGGGGGTATTGGGGATGCAGGGGGCTCATAGGGTTTGTAGGAGGACTGCAGGGTTGGGCGGCCTGGAAAATGGGAGCCTATGGGAGGTTACAAGGTGAGGGCTTTAAAGATGGAGGGATGTAGGGGAATGATGGCCTTGAAGATGGAAGGGTACAATGGGGCCTATGGGGATGCAGGAGGCCTGTAGGGGATGGGGGGCCTGGAGTGTGGGAGCCTATAGGGACCGCGGGAGGTCTGTAAGAGGTGAAGGTCTTAAAGGTGGAGGGCTATAGGGGATTGGGGGGGTGATACTGGGGATGCAGGGGGCTCATAGGGGTTGTAGGAGGCCTACAGGGGATGGGGGGCCTGGAGAATGGAGCCTATAGGGGCTGTAGGAGGTCTGTAGGAGGTGAGGGTTTTAAAGATGGAGGGATTGGGGGGGGGGGGGGGATGATGGCCTTGAAGATGGAGGCCTGTAGGGGATGGGGAGCCTGGAGAATGGCAGTCTATAGAGGCTGTAGGAGGTCTGTAAGGGGTGAGGGCAAAAAGAATGGAGGCATAGAGGGGATGAGGGCCTTGAAGATGGAGGCCTATAGGAGACGTGTAGGGCTTGGGGTCTTGGGGATAGGGAGGCTATGGGGAATATAAGATGTCTATAAGGGTACCTATGGAGGCTTACAGATAACATAGGAGACCTTAAATATGGAAGTGTGTAGGGAGTGGGGGGGGGGGGGG